CATCAGCAACCCCACCTGAACATCACTGGCGCCGTCGCTCCGTTCCGACAGCACTGGTGGCTGGTCAATCCTGGCAACAGTAGCAGCGGCCATTAAATAGGGGAGCCAGTCACAGCGTTGCCGGCCTCCTCCTGGTTTCCCTCGGTGCTGCTGCAAGGCCGACGCATGCTCGCGTGTGATGTCATCTCTCGATGCCTCGTCCCTCGCATGTGATGTCATCTCTTGGCACCTCACAGGGCCGACATTGGACAGGGGGAGAGGCTGATTGCTGGATGTATTGATGGGCATGTTGCTGGATGGGCTGCTGGCCTGGAAAAGGCGCAGGGGGGACTAGGCCTTCCAGGCCGGATGGTGGCTTGATGGATGGGGTTAGGTCCGATGTGGGTGGGGCGGGCATGCTCCCTATGTAAAAACACTGGGAGCAAGCCACTCTCAGTGACGAATTTATTCATGTACAGATTGCATTAAACTTCCGTTTGTCGCTCGTTCCTGCTTGCTGGCTATTTTGTGGAGCACCAAGATAGGACGACCTGACATGGGACTCCGCGGAGCTGCTCCTAATTGTGCCCGCGAGGGCCCGACCAAGCCCTGGCCTGACCTCCGAAACACCGCTTGCCCAAATTCTTTCTGCCTCCTGGGGGAAGTTGCGCCTTGTGGCCCAACTATTGTGGGCGTCATTGTGCGTCTAATCACCAAATGCCTTTAAAACGCGGGCCAGGAGAAATCTCATCCATCCCGCCACCGAACTGAGTTGGGACCGAGGGAAAGGAGGAGAAAAAAGGAAAGCAGGCAGAGCTTTGCTAGAATGGAGGGGTTGGAGGCTTTGGAGCAGGAGCGTCGACAGGGGGAAAGAGAGGCTCTGCTTTTCAGAGGCGCTGCCTTACAAGCAGCCCAAATCTTGGCCCCGTGTTCGGCCGCCCCACGTGTGAAGGCTGCCACCGTGGCTGCGTTCACACGTGCGGTGCTTGGCTAGTGGCACAAACTCAGCCGCGTCGGCTTCCTGGATGCCAGCACCAGGAAGCTGGGCTCGATTCCCTGGAGCTGTTGCGGGGCGCAGCAAAGAGCGAGCCCCTCAGCCACCTTGCCTGTCCCGCCCTGCCAGCAGCGCCCCCAAGCCTTTCGCCGCGAAGCCGTCTTCCCCCTTTGCCCTTTGCCCCACCCGAGGTCCCCCAAGCAGCGTCCAACCAAACAGCTAACAGAAGCACAGGAGGCAGCCTCGTCACTCAATATATCGGTATCTTTTAATATAAAAATTGCCTATTAAAAATTCCTTCCTAAATACACAAAAAGACCAATTGGGGTGCGGGAGAGGGAGCAGTAAAAGAAAAAAAAGAATGGTGGTGGGGGGACTCGGGGGCTGGATGAAGACCATTTTGGGGGGGCCAGGGAGAGGAATCAAGCAAGCAGCAGTGGCTTAGATGGTGCCAATCCAGAGGATTTCAGTGTGTTCGTCTCCAAGCAACTACCAAGGCTGATATATTTGCATAAATGAACAACACAGGATGGAGTGGTTTCCCTCCTTTTTTTTCTTTTCTGCACGATCCACAAAGCTGCACGGAAGTTTCCAAAACAGGGAAAGGAGGTAATAGAGAGCAGGACACAAGGTGGGCGGGGGGGGCAGGGAGTCGCACACATGCGTACACACGCACGCACACACCCTGAGCTTAGCACTGGCATAAAGGGGCGTCCACGGAGGAGGGAATACTGTACTCATTTGGGCTTATAGGTGGCCAATGAGAACTCAGAAAACTTTGCTCCCTTTCCCCCCCTCCCTCTCCCCTTCTTCAGCCAAAGGGTGTATTAGCTTGTCCATTTTTTCCCTACGGCGTATAAGACGACAGGAAGGGCTGGGCAGGCAGGGAGAGCTGACCCACCCAATCCAAGCAGGCTTTGTATACAACAACCAGCCAATCACCGGTAAGGTACATCGCTTACCGTGATTGGCTGGTTGTTGTATACTGGGTACATACAGTACAGCACCAGTATTTGTACCAGTTCATACAGTATAGCACCAGTACATACAGTACAGTATACAAATGTTCAACAGTCAAGACCCCATCATGGCTCCACCAGCAAGAAGAAAGCAATATGAAGCCAGTTTCAAACTTAAAGTTGTAAACTTTGCCATGGAACATAACAACTGCGCTGCTGCAAGACAATATGGAGTAACAGAAAAGATGGTTCGGGACTGGAAAGCAAATGAAAAAGCATTAAAGAGTATGCCAAGGGGTAAATGTGCATTAAGAAGAGGCACCTCACATTGGCCAGAACTCAAAAAACATGTAGCAGACATGGTGAATGAGCATCGTCAAAATGGTTATGTAGTGACACGAAATAAAATATGTTTGTTTGCACTTCAGTGGACCAAATCTAACCCAGATCACAGCAACAGATTTAAGGCCACTGTATCCTGGTGTACTAGATTCTTGGGAAGGCATAATATGGTACTGAGGCAAAAGATGAAAATTGCACAAAAATTATCTGCAGATAATACAACATCGATACATAATACAACAGTGCACTAAACATGGCTATGCGTTAAGTAGTATTGGAAATATGGATGAAACTCCAATGAATTTTGATATGATTGGAAATAAAACTGTCCATCAAAAAGGTGAAAAAACAATTTTAATTAAAACAACAGGACATGAGAAGTCCAGTTTTACAGTGGTACTAGGATGCACAGCTGATGGTGCCAAACTGAGACCAATGATTATTTTTAAAAGAAAAACAATGCCGAAACTCAAGTTCGCTGTTGGTTGTTTTGTACATATGAATGAAAAAGGCTGGATGGATGAAGAAAGGGTAAAGCTATGGCTTGATAATGTATGGAGCAGGCGACCAGGTGGACTTATTGAAAAACGTAGTCTACTGGTGTGGGCTCATTTAACTCCCAGCACCAAGCAAAGGCTTGCAAGAATAAAGACAGATGCGGCAGTTATTCCTGCAGGATTGACATTGTTGGTACAGCCACTGGATGTGTGCCTAAACAAGCCATTTAAAGATCGTATTCGAGAACAGTGGAATGAATGGTTGGTTAGCGGCGAAAAGTCATTCACAAAAGGAGGAAACATGCATGCTCCAGTTGGATGTTTTGTGCAAGTTTGTCATAAAAGCCTGGAATGATATTGATGCAGAAACAGTAATCAAGTCTTTCAAGAAGTGTGGCGTATCAAATTCATTAGATGGTATGGAGGACGACTACTTGTGGCAAGATGAAGAGGAAGCCAAAGCTGAGACAACACCATCTGATATGGAATTCGATCCATACGATGACTGCTTTACAAATGTATCACAAGATGTCATTGATGTACTTATATCAGATGACAAACAGGATGATTTTGAAGGCTTTTAAAGGGAAACTGTCACGCCAGCAAAACCTGTAAAAAATAGCTTGCAGTTATGATGGGCGTTGCTGACTCGCCAGGGACTTGCCCGGCACTTGCTTTATTGTTTGTTATCTTCCTCCTATCATCATCAGTTCTAGTTTGGTTGACAGCTTAGAAAACAAACAGCATAGCAGCTCCCATGGGTTTATTGTCTTATCCTTCCTTAAACCTTTAGAGTAAATTAGAAAAAGTTTAATCCACTTGCACTGTTTTACGTTCACATGTTTGATGATAAACAGCCTTATGTTTATAAGTGACAGTTTTCCTGCTAAGTACCTGCATGTCATAAGCATCTGAATTAAAATTACCATATTGAAATCAAAACTGATGTTTTTTCATTTTTATTTGGTGTGCGTTGGAAGAGGGGTAGTCTTATACGGTGAGTATAGCCCAAACTCTATATTTTAACTGGAAAAGTTGGGGGTCGTCTTATACGCCCAGTCGTCTTATACGCCGGAAAATACAGTACTATTAATCTAGGAGGGATATATATTTTAAGTACTATGTTATTTCCTATGTCCCGTTATTACTGCTTTCTTCTATTCTTATTTTTTTTCTCATTCTTCATCACACTGTTTACCAACTATTGAATGACTTATGCTTGTGTAAAAAAATTAATAAAAAATATGAGAAAGAAAAAAAAATCCTCTAATTTGATGGAATCTATTTGGATGTGCCAAATAATGGCAATAGGGAGAGAGTTGAGATTGTAAGGAACTAATGTTTTATCTCAAGTTTCCCTGCACCTCCCCAAATCCTCTTTTAGTATATCCACCCCTCCCTGGAGGAGGTAATCTTGAATTCGTTATTGTAATTTTGTATTTACATAATTTATTTAAACTCGGGGGGGGGGTTTCTATTAAATTATTGTAATAAAGTTTCCTGCTTTAAAAAAAGGAAGTAGTGGGAAGGATCAAGGCCAGGGCAATCTCTGGCAAAAGATCCTCTAAGGCCATTGACAAGGAGGCAAGACGAAGACACCAGCCCCTTCTCCGGGGCTGAAAAGAGAGAAAACACAGCAGGAGACTGACTTCTCCTACTTACACAGAGGCAGAGATATTTGGCCCTCTATAGCAGTGGTTCTCAACCTGTGGGTCGGGACCCCATTTGGGGTCGAACAACCATTTCACCGGGGTCGCCAAACAACGCAGTCCGCCATTTTTTCCCCTTTTCCTTAGCTGTGCTACTCCCTTTTATTCTATTGGCTTTTGAAAGCCAATAGAATAGACTCTCTTGAATAGAGTCTAATTCTATTGGCTTTCAAAAGCCAATAGGAATTGTCCAGGCTGTCTCTGCCCTGCTGAGCCAAAAGTCCCATTCTGCAAACGGTGCTGCACCAGTTGAGTAGTCCTCGACTTACGATCAATTGAGTAGTCCTCGACTTACGACCGGTTGGGGGTCACGGCATTAAAAAGATTGAGAACCACTGCTCTATAGGCTACCCAGGAGCCTCTGGAAACTGGCACTAAAATCACATTTTTAAAACATTTGGCGTAAAAGACAAAAACAAAACAGCTTCCAGAAAATGGCCTTCTCAACCACCATAAGCAGTGCTATGGCAGTTTAAGACAATATTACTTTTACTAATAATTATGAATTTGTTTAACTTACATCCCATCTTTTTGTGCAGGAGCTCAAAACAAAGTTATATGGATTCTCTCCTCCTGCTTGACTGTTTCTTTCTCCTCTTACTAAATTCTTATTTTTAGGTTTGTAGTCTTCCCTGTTGAAAGAAAACACACCACTTGCACATGTAGTATTTTTAGAAATAAAGTAAAATACTACAATTTATTTTTGTTTTGGAGGAACTGGTACTGCAACTCCAGCATATATATTGACAGCTCACTGTCAGTGTTTCTGAGCAAGATGATCCTTCCTTCCTTTCTCCCTCTTTCTCAGCACATTATACACACAGACTATATGCACGCACGCACGCACACGCACACGCACAGTATGCATGCATACATTTTGTGGTCACTTCCTGCTTTGAACTCACTTCCCTCTAAACCATGCCTATAGGCCAGAGCTCATATTGGGTTTTTTTTTTCTTACTTGCAATAGAATGGAAGATTGGTTTCAACAGCCCTGTTGGTTCCTCCTACTCAGAAACAGGAAGCTCAGTGTTCTTCAAAGATCCACCTCCTCCCTTTAAAAGGTCATGCTACTTTTGAAGCCATAACCTGAAGCAATAAGATTTGCATCATTTTGTGGAAATGGATTTTAGAAATGTCTCTATGTTCAAAGGTTTGCTTCTGTTCTAAATGTCTAAAAAAGAATGAAAGAAATCATGTTTGGACATTATCTCCAATTTCTAATCTCTGATAACTACAAAACTGTATACCTTTTATTTGAATGTACATCTATTTAAATTACAACACAGATGACCTTTCCAAAAACAACAGCAAGCCTGAAACAAAACCTTGCAATGCAAATAACATGAATCAGTTTAAGCATCTTAACATCCCAGCATCTCCCTTTGGGTCAACTCACACCAGACAAGAACAGCTGACTCAACTGATCCAGGAATAGCACTGTGAGAATGGAAGCCACACAAGACCCCCACTGAGGAAGACAGGAGACAAAACAGCTGCAAGTTGATAGGCCTCTTTCCATCTCAGAGACAAATACAATTCACCGTACTACCTAGTTAACACTATTTTTAAAGAGTCTTCACAAGATAAAGGGAGGACATTGAGGAAGAGGAGGGAGGATAGAATAATAATAATAAAAACATTAAACATCAACTTGACCATATAGAGAGGATAAGATAAGTCAAGATAATTCCTGCTCAAAAGGCTGGCTGATATGGGAGGGAGAAATCAGCTTGTTGTAGGAACCTTGCTGATATCTATGCTTCCAGGACATATGACTCAAAAACAAATTGACCTGCACTTGAATAAATTTATCAGATTAGAGGACATTTTGTTTTATTCAATCAGCCTTCTTGTTAGCCTATTTTTAAAAAACAAAAAAATAGTCAAAAAGCAACAACCAAAATCCAAACAAACCCATAATATCATTTTGAACAATAAACAACAGTTACAAATTTTGAATCATTCAGTCTCCAATTCCATTGTCCAAGTCTATTCCAATTCACTGCTCTGCCTTTCAGAAAAAAAGTCTTTAAAAACAGACAAGAAGAAAATATGTTTACAGACTAATCACAGAGGAATCATAAAGAGTTAAAAAGGTCATGGTTGAAATGAAGGGTCCTTAGTGCTTCCATCCTTTGTGCTTCAACCCTGAGCTACAAGTATTATCCTTTATTAGTTAAAAAGATGTTTTAGGATTAGCACTTTTCTCAATCATAAATTTTTCACCTGGCAAAGAACTGGCGATCTTGCCATATTCCAAATGGAATGGGGAAATATCTTCATCCTATCTGACTATTATTGCCTGTGTTTGTGTGACTAATACAGTGCAGCACCAAAGAAATAGGTTAAGTATCTACTTGGTGCCAGCTAAAATGCACAAAATATTCTGAGCAATCTAATTAAATCAAGAAGCTGGATGCACTTTTAAGCTGGAATGAATAATATGGAAATAAGCTGACGAATCGATCTGAAAGACTAAATTCATTCCTGTGGCAACCAACAAGCACTTGCTAGTTTAACAGAGAAGAAATGCATGATTGTGTTTATTACCCTCGCAACCCTAAATTGTTGATATGATTGATATGTTAACCTCCAATTCTAGTCCCATCATGTTCCTCAGCTGTTTCCTGCCAAGGAACCCAATTGGAAAGCAAAGATATTCAATTTCATTATGCCTTGTGCAGGCATTGTCTCAACTATAAATAGTAGAGTACAACCAGTTCTGGGTTGTTTAAACGCAAAACAAGAAAGCACACCAGAAATTTCCACAGAATCCTTAGTATTAAGTAACCTGACCAGTTAACCCAAGGCATAGAGGAAGGGGTTTACACCATTGTGCCCCAACCTGGCGCCACAAAGATATGTTCAGCCTGCAACTTCCAGTTTGTAGGAAGCCATGGACTTACAACATATTTAAGTGGGAAGGAACAGATGAAACTCTACTTTTCGTAAGTATTGGGGCAATCTTTCTAGTTTCAATTCATAAAGCAAGACACAAATGATTAATACTTTAGTACAAATATCTACTGGCTTCAGACTTGAAAGCAATGGAATGTAAAATCTATGTCTTGAATTATGCTGGAGCAGGTAAGCAGCTGTCTGCTCAACAGGTTTATGAAAAAGACATAGCTTAAGCAGAAACAGGATTCTTGGGGAGGTGGAAGAGGATTGGAATGCCTTCAAAGTACTTCCTTGTTCCCCACACTTCCACTCCTGAACTGTCTACCTCAAATACGGATAAACCACTCTTCTATTTAACATGCCTTATTAAAAGTGGTCACAAAGTGGTCACAAAGAAACATATAAGTAGCAGAATAAACAAACACAAAAGATAAAATCATTCCGTAGGTAGTGTTTCACCTACGATCACAATTGTGACTAGAACTTCCATTGCTGGATTTGTACCTTTTATGGCTAGTGGATGGGGAGACGGTGTCCTTGGCTTGGGGCACCGTGGGATCCTCCATCCTGAAGTGAGCTATCTCAGGTAGTGCTGAGGGAACTCTGGCAGTTGATCAATTGGCAGGTTAGATTCAGTTGGAGCAGGGAAATGTTAAGACAATGACGGGCTTGGTTCACCCTGCTCCCCTGGCCTGAAGGGCCCATTAAAGGTCCCGTCGCATCTACGGCCGTGGCAAAATCACGGTGTGATGACAGCCAGCTTGCTTGTAGGGCGCTGGTGGTGACGATGCCAAGGGTGTGAAGTGTCAGCATCTTTGCGCAGCGGGTGGGTCTACATAGGCATCAGAAACTCCACCTTGGTGAGAACCCGCACACGCAAAACCCGCAAGGTGGTGCCAGGTATGTTTAGTGAGGCACCAGTTGAGGCCTATGCTATCCACACTGGAGCGACTGCTGTGACCGCTTTTAGATTAATTAGGTTGTTTTTTCTGGGGGGGTGATTACCCTGAACCCCCCTAAGGGGCCCTGTGACCCCTCCACCCCTCGCAAAAAAGTGGAGTGGGCCTTGTCTGGGCCCGTTGGCAATAGTGGCCAGTTAAAATGGCGGCCGCACCAGTCTGACGACCACGGAGCCTGAATGCCTGAATGCGAAAGGGAGGAGGCTGGGGTCAGCAGGCCAGTGCCTGCAGCGAAGCGAGAGGCTAGTCCTTGAAACGGAGCCGATCGGCAGCTCACCGCGCAGTTGTGGTGACAAGGAGGGGCCAATTGAGGCCTACACGATCACCCAGCTGCTGCCAAACTGGCGGCCGCACGATCTGGCAGGAAAAGAAGTCCGGAGAGAAAGGGAGCCGTCTGGGGTCCAAACAGCAATGCGGTGAAAATGGGAGGAAAGGGAGCCATCTGGAGCCTCTGCGATCCCAGCAACAGCACGATAAGAGTCGGGAGGGAAAGGGAGCCTTCTGAGGCCTCCACAATCCTGGGCAGCAGTGCAGTGAGGTTCCGGAGGGAAAGGGAGCCGTCCGAGTCTCAGCGATCCCAAAGCAGGAACTCTTGAATCCGATTTTAAAGTGAGGCCAAATGAGGCCTCCCGTATCCTCGGAGGAGAGTGGAAAGACTGGGGGAGGGCCCGGGCTGTAGCACTGATCCCAGCGCCACATGAGGTGAGGGGCTCAACAAATGGAAGAACGGAAGCCTCCGCTCTTCCTAGGGTCCCTGGAGAAATCCTATCTTCCAGTAACCCTTTTGAGCAGTGCTGATCCCTTGGATGCAAGGGAGAATCCAACAAAGTAAGCTCAATATTACCTGCTTTCTGGGAGCCAAGATCGCCACGTCTGTTTGAGCTGGACACCAAGTCAAGACTGGGTGTGTCCTAGCCCAGGATGGGCGTGGCAAGTTTGACTGACTTGGTCTAATGAGCAGGAAGACAGCAAACCCATTGGTGGATTCTCCATCTTCTGTGCTGGAGAACTTCCATTGCTAAGCAATGCAGTCACTGAGTTACATCTGATTTCATGATTTTTTTCTGCTGTGGTCATTAAGCAAATCTGGCTTCTCCCATTGACTTTACTTATTGGAAATCCCCTTGGATGATTGCAAATGGTGATCATGTGACTTTGGGACGCTGCAACCATTCCAAATACATGCCGATTACCAAGCCCCAGATATTGATCACATGTCTGTAGGGCTGTTGCAACAGTTGTAAATGTCATAAGTCAGTGATGGCAAATCTTTTAGAGATTGAGTGTCCAAACTGCAACCCCAAACCCACTTATGTATTGTCAGGTGCCGGGTGGGCGTGGCCCATTGGGTGAGTGTGGCTTCGGTGGTAACAGCAGACTGGGTGGGACTAAAAAGTTCAATCAATCAATTCCAACTTTGCGAGATCTTTTTTTCCCTGTGAGAAGTTGAAATTGATTGAACTTTTTTTTTTGCACACGGCGGAGACGTAAAGCAAAAAGGTTTTATAAAACCCAGCTGAACGCCTAGGACTGGGACAGTGGCATGCGTGCCCAGAGAGGGCTCTGCGTGCCACCTGTGGCATGCATGCCATAGGTTTGCCACCACGGTCATAAGTAATGACCAAGGTAAGGAAGGCTAGCAGTAGATTTGGGAGTTGATTTTGAGTCCATCTTCAACCCGAAAAGGTCCAACTAACTCTTCTTTAAAATATCAGCCCATACCAGTACCCACCTCTATCTTGCTGGTGTCTGAGTCAAAGTGGAGCTCTGTGCCTGTTACTGATTAGCCATCAGCCCATCCATCTGGTCCGTCAAGAATCACTCTCATCTCATCCATGAAACCTTTGAAAAATCTGTCTTCAGATATTTCTTGGCCAGTCGTCTTGCTGTTTCAATTTATGTGTCTTGTTCAATGGATTTCAGCCTTCCTTACCTTGGCCATGTCTCTGATCACTGAACACCTTGTACTTCTGGGCACTCCAGGTAGGTTACAGTTCTGGAGGATAATGGGTTCCTGTGAATTTTGCCCCATTTTATCACCTTTCTTGCCACAGTTGTTAAGTTAGTAACATAGTTTTTAAGTGAATCTTGCTTCCCCACTGACTTTGCTTTTTCCAGAAAGTTGCAAAGGTGATCACATGACCCAGGGACACTGGAGCCATCATAAATATGAGTCGGTTGCTGAGTGTCCGAATTTTGATCATGTGACCATGAGGATGCTGCAACAGTCATAAGTGAGAAAAACAGTTATAAACCACATTGCTTCACTGCCATTGTGACTTTGAATGGTCACTAGATGAACTGTTTTAAGTCAAGGACTACCTGTATTAGAAGGATTCCAAGCATCCTCTCTTTTTGAATCTGAAAACTTATAAACTATGCATCCTCATAAGCGATAATAGCAATCAATGCTTCTGAAAGAATTGTAAAGGTTACAGAATTGGTGGACATGACAAAACTGACCTCTTTGATCAGACATAAAATGATCAGTACTTTTATCAAATCTCTTATGTACATTTTGTTGAAAATGGAAAAAACAAACCAGTGATTTATGGATTTGCGGACTGAAAAAGGCCGAATATAGGAAGAACAGGACTAGGATATTGTTTTAATAAAGGAGGAATGAGGGTAAGATTGTAACTAACTGCTGTAAAGAAGATCTGAAGTCGTTCTCTCTCTATTTCATCTTCTTTTTTTCTATTTGTATCTCTTTCTACATTTTCTTACTTCACATTTTCTTTATTATTCTATAATAATATTCTATATTATTTCATGTTTTACTTTTAAATAAAAATTAAATATTTTGTTTAAGTATTGGCATATTATGTCACAAAATAATATCAGACAACTAAGTACCTACATGGTAAGTTTGTGGAAGACTTAAATCTATAGATCATTGTTTTGGGCATGTTATATGTAAGGCTGACATTGACGTTTTTTGACAAATTAATACCATATTACTCTACCACCTGAAACACTTTTCATCTAATTAGCCCTGATATCTAAATATAAGCTAAATCACTGTACTGTTGGATTAAGTGTACTGTTAGATTAGTACTTTTTTTTAACCTCTTTGTCTTTCTAAATGCCTCTCCCACCCCACTATAAACATATAGACTAATTACTTAGCATTCCTGTTAAGTAATGGATGTGGCTATACTGCTGTCCTCGTTAGTGATGGAAATAGCATGTGCCAAGTACTTGGAGAAAAAGACAATTAATCTTACATCAATATAAGTTATATGGATATATTTTGAGAAAAAACATGAAGTGTCAGGAAGAGGCTCATTTCTTTACAGCTAGAATAAAGCAAATTAGGATGTGAAATGTTTCAACATAAACAAAATGTGATGTACTGACTTCAAGTCCAAATTTTTAATTTGTCTCTTGTTGAGCTGCCATGAATTCTTTGGCTAACTTTGTTCTGTCAGCTTTCATATGCATCTGCTGTCACAGTTACCTTTGTATATTTAGTATATACACAATAAAAACTATGCAACAAATTGTACCTTATGCAACTTTCTTAACAAATTGGTATCAGATTCTCTATCTAATAATGAGATAAATATAACCATATTTTTTTCTATGATTTAGAACTACAATTCTCATTTCAGAAGAAAAGGAAAACCGATTTCTTTATAGCAATGTAATTTTCAATTTGTCTGATCTTTTTTATTTCTGCCATCTACCAACTATTTTGATGTGATAAGTTTCTGGAATTAATTATGCAATACATTGTTTTACAATTCTTTGCACAATCTGTATTAAAATATTTTGCTTCTGTAGGTGTAGGTTATCTGCAAGACGAAACTATTTTTCCAATACTCCTACACCAGTAGTATACCGTAATTGCTGAAAAACAGTGACATAGATACCTTTCATTTTTAGGCAGGAAATACACACAATTTGCAGTATAACTCTCCAAAATAAGCTTAATATTGTTTAAATAAACAAATATAACCCTCCCCCCAATCATACTTGCAAATCCTAGGAGGAAGAAAAAATCCTGGTTCTATCCATGTATGATGTGGTACCACCTATTTGAGTCATTCTAGCTTTTGTTCCCGCAAAAATGTTTAAATATATCCTATACAGCAAATATTTGGACATCAATAGGTTAGTAGAACAATGTAATTATTCAGTTTGAAGTGGGCTTGTTTCACTAATTTGTACTAGTTCATTTGGTTCCCTGAAAACAAAAGAGTAAACTTCCAATCTTGTACAGTAGTCATAGTAGGTAACATACAAGCCCAAATTTTATGTAAATTCAATACAGATTTTTTAAATACCTTCTAAGAATAAAAACTTTATTAGTTTAAACCAGTGTTTCTCAACCTTGACAATTTTAAGGCATGTGGACTTCAACTCCCAGAATTCCACAGCCAGCAATGCTAGCTGTGGAATTCTGGGAATTGAAGTCCACATGCCTTAAAATTGTCAAGGTTGAGAAACACTGGTTTAAAACATCAGTATGTTTTAGAGGCTTCCCCAGTTTTAGATCAGATCTCTTGCAAATAGCTTTTAGCATTTTTAAACATGGATGAGGAAACCTATTTTCATATTTTAAAATGTATTACAACGCACCTGTCATGTATCTCCTTCTGCTAAAACACTTCGCATGTATTTTAATCACAGACACATGTGCTGCACAACTGTTTTAAAACAGAAGGCTAACAAGACAAAATGCAGTTCAGTACAACTGCAGCACTTGACATAATCCTGACTTTGTGCTGGGGGAAATCTAAGCTTAATCCAGTGTCCCAAATTTATGCCCTACTTCTATATTTTTATTCAATTTTTAATAATTAACAAACACTTTGTCTTTCTCTTCTCTCCAACACAGAAAATCCTCCACTTACAACCATTCCTTCAAAGTTACAGTGGCACTGAAAAAGTGACACAACCCGTCCTCACACTTATGACTGTTGTGGCACTCTCACGATCGTGAGATCCAAATTTGGGTTCTTGGTAACTAGCATGTATTTATGATGGCTGCAGCATCCTGGGTCACATGATCACTACTTTGGCATCCAAGTACCAAGAGGAAGGACAGTAGCTAGCAGTTCGAATCTATGCTGGCTTGGCTCTCATCTCCAAGGGAAAAATCCCCTCAGTAACTTAAGACAAGATTTAGCCATCCTCTAACTCAGTGGTTCTCAACCTGTGGGTCGGGACCCTATTTGGGGTCCAACGACCATTTCACGGGGGTGGCCAAACAACGCAGTCCGCCATTTTTCCCCCTTTTCCTTAGCTGTGCTACTCCCTTTTATTCTATTGGCTTTTGAAAGCCAATAGAATAGACTCTCTTGAATAGAGTCTAATTCTATTGGCTTTCAAAAGCCAATAGGAATTGTCCAGGCTGTCTCTGCCCTGCTGAGCCCGCCAAAAGTCCCATTCTGCAAACGGTGCTGCACCAGTTGAGTAGTCCTCGACTTATGACCAGTTGAGTAGTCCCCGACTTACGACCGGTTGGGGGTCGCGGCATTAAAAAGGTTGAGAACCACTGCTCTAACTAGTCCATGTAGCAGTCATAACATCTCTATAAAGTTATAGCTCAGGAAATATTCCTCTAGAAGGACCATAACAGCAATTGCACTTCTCTGTCTAGAGTGGCTTCAGCTGTTCCTAATAAAGACAATAATAGTGAAAAAAATGACCCTCTGAAACATTGGTCCTCTTTGTTCAAAGCCTTCCCTTCATCTATTACAGTTCTCTTATTTCCAACATCTTCCAGTATGTTCCAGTCACTCTTAGCACTTAGACCAGTGGCTCTCAACCTTTTCTATACCCCACCTCCCTGGAATGCTTCTGATATATTCTCGCACCCCTTACAAAAGTTCAAAATAATGGCAATGAATTATGCATATACAGTATAATCTTGAAAACCCAAGTTTTCGCACCCCCTGGAATATCGTCTCACAGCCCTCTCTAAGCAGTTTACAGAGTCAGCATATTGCTCCCAACAATCTGAGTCCTAACTGTACTGACCTTGGAAGGATGGAAGGCTGAGTCAACTTTAAGCCGGTGAGGATCAAGCTCTTGGCAGTCGGCAGAATATTGCATTCTAACCACTGTGCCACCACTTCAGCCTTTACTCTACTTAAATGCTAATCATCTCGCACAATGTCCAAATCTGGACCACTACTTTTTTCTCTCGCTTTTCTACACATTTTCACTTTTTTTTCCAGAAGCACATTGCTTCATTCCTGTCTTCCTTATTAATCTTACTTATTCCTCCCCTCCCCCCTTTTTCCGTCCTTTACTTTTTTCACCCACTTCAATCAATCCCCTCTGAAACCAATGGCAACTAGTATCTACTCTCCATTTACCAAATCATCTCATC